CCGTTCTTCTAACCACCATGGCTTTTTCTTTTTCTCTAGCAACTAAACAAGCACTGGCCTTGAGATACATTAAACAATTCCAGCTCATCCGGCTCGGAGACATTGACTAACTGACCCCGTTCCACCGGCCATAACTGCAGCTTTGACTTGAACTTACTGAAATCTCTTTGTAGTACTTCAAAGAGCCTGTAGTACAAAGAGATTGATTTCAGTAACTTTCTCCTGACCATGAACTGGTCCTGGCTGGCTGCACACTTGGACGCCTTCATGTCCTGAAAAGACCTTTTGACATATAGGGTCTAACTGTAGTACATTTAAATGTTAAGTCTCCATCCCAAAGTGAACATGGGTGGTATGTTACACGCATGTTTGTCCCGTACACATGTGCCAGGACCATCACGAATATTCATAGCTCCTCCTGTCACCTGTTCAATATGCATGTTTAGCCAACCAGTTCAACCTTAAAGCTCCTGTCCCAGCTTCCCTTCCTCCGACGTGTTTCTCTCTGGTCTTGGCTGGAGGCTGTGCTTCCCAGGCTGCAGGATGGCCACCTTGCAGGCTGAAACCTTTGCAAGAAATAAAGTCTCCTCTGTTTTCTAAATGTATTCGTTGTGGTTGATATGGTTTGGCTGTGTCTCCACCCATATCTGATCTTGAATTGTAGCTCCCATCATTCCCATGTGTTGTGGGCGGGGCTTGGTGGGAGGTAATTGAATCATGAGGGCGGTGATTTCTCACACTGGTCTCATAGTGGTGAATAAGTCTCACAAGGTCTGATGGTTTTATAAATGGGAGTTCCCCTGAAAAAGCTCTCTTGGCTGCCACCATGTAAGACGTGATTTTCCTCCTCATTCACCTTCTGCCATGATTGTGAGGCCTCTCCAGTCATGTGGAACCATGGGTCAATTAAATTTCTTTCCTTTATAAATTACTAGTCTCGGGTATGTCTTTATTAGCAGCATGAGAACAGGCTAATACAGTGGTTTTGTATTTTTAAAGTTAACATCTCTCAAGAAGTGGGTCAACTCAAGCCTCAACTAGGGCAGGATCTGTTTCCAAGCTCACGTAAGGGGTTGTTGGCTGGATTAGGGTCCAAGGCAGTTGCTGAACTAAGGGCCCCAGTTCCTTGCTTTTCCAGTGTCACACCTTACTTCATCGCAGTAAGGCAGGTGTGAGGACTTTTCCCAGCAGGCCCAAGGCCACGCTCCCTAAAAAGGCCTGAATGCAAGACTGGACCTTAGTTGGCCTCTGGGAACTTGGATTTTGGGAGTGTTCCCACCATCCCAACTGATAAGTGGTTCACTGTACCTAAACTGTTTATGCAAACAATACGCTGAGTGCCTGCTTTCCCTGCCAGGGTCTGGAATGTTGGAGGTGCGAGACAGAAGGTGCCCACATGACCCCTGTAAGCTCCCTGAGCACTGAGTCTCTAATGAGCTTCCCTAAAAGACAACACTTTTCATGTGTAATCACAGCTCACTGGGGGAATCAAGTGTGTCCTGTTTGATTCCTCTGGGAGAGGACTCTCGGAAGCCTGCACCTGTTTTTTTCTAGATGTTACCCCATGTGCCTTTCCCTTTGCTGCATTCATTCACAAGCCTTTTGTGTAATAAATCATAGCAGAGTAGGACTATGTGCTGAGTCCTGGGAGTCCTCACCAAACTCAGGGGTGGGTCTTGGGGACCCCAACACAGCACAAGAGTGTCACCACCAAGACAGAAGTCGTAGTCTTCTATATAATCTCATTGGAAGTGACACCCCATCGTCATTCTATGAATTAGAAGCAAGTCATAAGGTGCAGCCCACACACATAGGAGAATGCACCAGGACATGAACCCCGGAGGCGCGGGTCAAAGGGGCTGTTGTGGAGGCCCGCAGGCCACTGTGGCAGAGCCAGCAGTCAAGCCCCTCACCCTCCACCCCAGGCTGCTCAGCATTCGCCAAAGTGAGCAAGAACAGAGACGTCCCAAACCCACTTCCTGAGAAGTGCTAGAGAATGGAGTGCCATTTGCTAGGGTGAAGCGTGTATATATACAATCCCAGACTTGTGGATGCCCAGTAAGAATTTTGTCCTCTGGGCTCACAGAGACACAGATATCTCTTTTGCAGCACTTACTCACTTCCTAACTGAAGAGATCTAAGATTACCACGTTTTAATAGAGAGGGCCCCTGCCTTACAATTCAACTCATGACCTTTTGGCTTTATGGTGGTAGGAAAGCAACACATATTCATTGGAAACTGTACTTTGGATTTTGATCTCTACCTGGGCTGGTGATCTGGAGTCGATATCCTTGTGACGTTGGGCCGTGGTCCTGAGTTGCTCCATCAGCCACGTGATCACAAGGGTCAACAACCAACCCTCCGCAGGGGACGGTGTTACCAGATGATTTTCCCAACTGTGGCATGAACTGTTCTGAGCATGCTGAAGGTAGTCTAGGTGTACTTAATGCACTTTGATGTAGGACATTTTCAACTTATGCTGGCCTTATCAAGACATAATCCCATTGTCAGTTGAAGAGCATCTGTATTTAAAATCTTGTTAACGTTGGCCCCAGTCCACATAGATCCCCTCCTCAGAGACAACCAATACCGTCAATTTCTTCTGTATCCTTCCAGTTACTTTATGCAAATTCAAAAGCACGTCTGTCTCTAAGCCTGCGTATTTCCCCCTTTACACAATGGCATCAGAATGCACATTCTTCTCTACACCTTGCTTTTTTTTCTTCGTGGTCACTGGACTCCAGGACACAGTGAGCTGCTTTAGCCCCTTTGCTGGCCAGTGTCCACTTGGGGGCTCTGCACCATTGTATCCCAGTGCCTCGTTGTGGATGCTGAGGGGCTTTTGGGTTTCTGCTATTATCAACAACATTGCATCAGATGACTCTGCAGATGCATTTGACTCATCTGCGGGCCTGTGAAGTGGACTTGCTGGCTCAAAGTTGTCCTTTTTTTTTTAGGAAATTTACTTTATTCATCTACTCTACAGGTATGTCAAAGTTCAAAGGAAACAAAGAGTTTTCCGTAAAAAGTTTTTCTCCCATTTAAACACCCCTACCAGAAGGCAACCGCGATTCCCAGCCCATGGGGCTGGCTACTTCAGAGAGGCCCTCATCACAGACAAGCCTGCCTGGGCGGAAGCGAAAAATCCTTCTTCAGCCAGTGTCTTTTCTTCTGCAGTGCACTCTTTGGGAATCGGAAGACCCTTATCAAAATGCTGATTAAAGTTAGAGAAAGAAAACCCTTCATGTTAGGAACAGTCTTCTCCTGAATGTTTCCTCAGGCTTATCCATGCACCGTAACTGTCCACCTTATTTATCAAGTTTTAAGTTTTCTCCTCCCTGTGTGGTCTGTGCTTGCTAGCTGCTGCTCTGTTGTCTTTGACCTCTGTGTCCAATGCTGGAGGCTGCCCTCAGGTGCTCACAGGTCTGGTTGCCCTCAGGTCTGGTTACCCGGGGTTGTCTACTCTAACAAGGCAAGGTGCTCACAGGCAGTGCTGTGACTCCTTGCTTTGAGCGTAGCTACAGGGTGATAAGAGTGGGCCATTTCCCAGGAACCCTAAGGCCGCTGTCTTATGGCTTTTCTGGAGCTGGACAGTTTCCCCAGAGAAGTATCTTCCAACAATCTCCTTCTATAGACCAAGATCTCACTCCCCTAAACGTTCTGGGGGCTGAGGGAGGACAAAGATGCCAAGAGCACTAACCCCATCCCCACACACCTGTGTGGCCCCCAGGTCCCCACCGTGCCCAGTATCCCCAGTCCAGGGCCTGGACCAGCAAGTATCCTTTATCGATAATGGGGCAGGTACAAGGACACTGAAACTGACTGGAAACACTTCCCACTGGCCAATTCCGGGACAACCCGAGAACCAAAATAAATGACAGTAAAAATAAACAAATGACGGAATAAAATGGAATCCTTGAATCCATACTGATAGAAATGAATAAAGAAGTAAAAGAGAGAGGTGTGCTTATTCTATGTAGAATGAAAACTAATGATGTAGAAGGGAGGAAAAACGGGGGAAAATCATTTGTAGCTATCGCAGTAAAAACTGGCCAAGGCGAATTATCAAGAAACACTAAAGCTGGCAGCTAAAAGTTTGATGAGAGGAATAGAGTCTTGAAATGTCTCCTTGCAAAATACTTACAAATTTTTCAGTAGAGAAACTCAGCAGGCAGACACCATATTAATAAAACAAAAAACACCACAAAAACTTCACCAGCACCGTAAAGAGAAAAACCAACATCATCAGCCTCCTGACATGATGCAGCGAAAAGAACACAGCACCGCCTCTGTGGTATTCCTGTCAAAAATGCACTAATCACAGGGACACGTCAGACCACCCCAAACTGAAGCACACTCAGACTACCTGACCGGTATCCTGCAAAACTGTCTCAGTCATAAGAGACAGACTGGGAACTGTTTCAGACTGGACTGAACTCGAGACAAGACCGCCAAAGGCAACAGGTGTCACCCCAGACAAAAACTGGACATTGTGACTGCAAAAGACATTACCGGGCCGCCGGAGCGAGCTTGCTGGTTGACCTGCATCTGCACTTCTGACGCCTATGCTGCGAGCTGCAAAGAGGGCCTCTGTTTCCAGGAAATACCACAGGAGCAAGGGGGTAACGGAACACGTCTGCGACTGACTGTCAAAGGGTTCAGAAAAAAATGAGTGACATGCAGACACACCAGAAGATGCAAACGCAAATGCAGAGAAATGTTCAGTGGAGAATTTGGGCGAAAAAGAAACAGGAGCTCTTCACGACACAGAGCTTCAAAGTATTTCAGAGTGGAGACTCTAGAGACAAACCCACCAAAGGCAGTGTGTGGTCGGTGTTTGTACAGACCAACACACAAAATGAGGCAGACAGGGAGACGGCAGCCTTCACAGTAAAACTGCTTTCACTGGAGAAAACAAGGATGTATTCTAACACTGCCATTGAGCCAGAGTCAGTTTGTTCTTTCTGCTTCCTAAGAGCGAAAACAAGAATCACACGTATATATTTTATCATTAATGACTTTATTTAAATATTTCAAGGATCCCAACCCCATTTAAAAATAAAAATTGTAAAGCACTCCATTCAATAAAAGCACATAAGTCCCCCTCAATAATAAGTATGACAATTCACAATACAGCTCTTACTCTGGAGTTTATTTTACCCTTTATTCCAAAAGGCACAGTCATCTGAGGCCTCAGATATTAACCCCACCGCATGTTAATGTCACACCACTAATGTGCAACTCAATGTAATTATTAAAGCTTATAACACACTTCCCCAGGAATTTATAGATTCTTTCTATAAGTAATAATTAAAAAAATACTGGACCTTAAGACCAATACAGGCTTAACAAGAGACCTGAAATTTCCGCAAGGGGAGTTCTGTTTCTTGATAGAAGTACGACTTCTGAATGTCTATTCCCAGCAACAGAAAGACTAGACCCAGCTTGGCCAAAGAAACAAAGTAAAACGAGTGATTTCTAACACGCTAAAAGAATATGTTTTCATCCGCTCCACAAGAAAGCAGTCCTGGCCATTCAGAAGCCTCCTATCGTGCCACCAGTCTGCAGGCATTAGAAACAGACGCTTCACAGGCCACAGGCTTGTGCTGGATTCGGTTTCAGACACCAGTGACACGAAGAGGCCAGTTTTGCGTGTGAGGGATGTGGGTCCCCACTGCCTTGGGCCTGCTCACCGGGGTGGGGGGACGCCCGCAGGGTCACAGGCCGCTGTCACGTCCGGACTGTTGGCCTCTTCTGCATCGGGGCTGTTGGGTTCTCCTGCTCTCTGTTCCTCAGGCACCTCATTCTCTGGCTGTCCAGTGCTGGCTGCACTCTCATTGGTGAGGATAACCCCTTCCTTCTTCTTTTCTCCCAACACCTCCAGCCCCATCATCCTGAGATAATGAAGCCGCTCATTCTTGGGCACAAAAGTTCGAATGGAGGCCTTTCCCCGCCATCCACATAAGACGATGGGGCACTGCAGAGCGTCTGGATTCCTGCAAGTGAAAGTGGCTTCATGTAGAACATTAAACATTCCCATAACTAAATCGAACGAGATATAACATGCAACTGCTTAAAAAAGAAAACCACAGAAAACCCATACCCACAAAACTCCCAAAACTACTGGGAGGACATTTTCATCTGTGATCCAAGGGGCAGGTTTTCTCAAAGGGAGATTAGCTTCCTTCTTCATGTCCTGAATAAGATTCTCACCCTCACTTTCACCTTGCCTCTAAGTTCACAATGGAGTAGGCCCCAAATCTACAGATTTCACACACTTTCACTGCTGGAATTTCTACATACTTCCTGCTCAAACTTAACTTACTGTCCCCCCGCCCTGTGTCACCTCACCCCACTAAATGAGAAGTGTTTCTCGACAGGCTCCTCGCAGCTCACCTCTAAGTTTCCTAAGTGAATTGAGGCTCCTGAGAGGCGGGGAGACTCGGCCCCTAGCAGGGCTGCCACAGCAGGACCCAGGACCACCCATCCTTTTGATGCTCAGCGTTTTGCGTGATTTGTTCTGTAAGGACCCCACATGGCAATCTGAGCCCTGCTGGGCACACAGTGCTCATTTCCGTTCCCAGCATGCAGTGTTACCCACAGTCAAAAACATCCCCGCCTCTCTGAACCTGCTCCGACCCTCCCTACCTTCCAGGCTCCACCTGTCCAGCCAGCTGGCATCAATGCCCCAACAGAGATGGAAGCCACTATTTCCAACCCTCTCAAGTTACCTAATTTCTTTCATACGGGACTCTGAGCTAGATTTTAGGTTCCTAACGGCCATGTTTAATCACCTTTCCATTTTTCCTAATGTAAAGCAGGGGCACTACGTTGGTTTCAAGAGGTGAGAGGAAAATATAAGAAATTCCCAACTCCCATCTTCTTTAAAAAAAAAGAAAAAAACTCATTATTCCTGAAGTTGACTTTTCACCTGTGTATTTTACCAAGTAGAAAAGTTTGAATATGGAAAAGTGAATCCACACCTTAAAATATCCCAATGTTTTCTATGTGGGCCACATGGGACTGTTATTTTAAAAACCATTTATGTGTCTTTACTCAAACTCTTGTAAAAACACCCAGACGCCATCAATCACTAGATGCTCCTGCCCCTTCACCATCCAGACAGCATCCGCCTCCAGCAGGTCCCCAGGGTGCCCATGCGCATGGCCTCGCTGACCTCCACAGCCCATCCATCCAGCAGGTCCCCAGGGTGCCCATGCGCATGGCCTCGCTGACCTCCACAGCCCATCCATCCCAGCCAGGTCCCCAGGGTGCCCCCATAGGGTCCCCCATGCGCATGGCCTCGCTGACCTCCACAGCCCATCCATCCAGCAGGTCCCCAGGTGCCCATGCGCATGGCCTCGCTGACCTCCACAGCCCATCCATCCAGCAGGTCCCCAGGGTGCCCATGCGCATGGCCTCGCTGACCTCCACAGCCCATCCATCCAGCAGGTCCCCAGGGTGCCCATGCGCATGGCCTCGCTGACCTCCACAGCCCATCCATCCAGCAGGTCCCCAGGGTGCCCATGCGCATGGCCTCGCTGACCTCCACAGCCCATCCATCCAGCAGGTCCCCAGGGTGCCCATGCGCATGGCCTCGCTGACCTCCACAGCCCATCCATCCAGCAGGTCCCCAGGGTGCCCATGCGCATGGCCTCGCTGACCTCCACAGCCCATCCATCTGCTGTTCCCTCACCAAGTGCCTGCCCCTCCCACCTCAGCCCCTACCTGTCCTCTCTCCACATTGGCAGCCTGACAGCCTGAACCCTGAGGACATATGGCCCCTCGGCCTCCCTGCCAACCTCTTACCTGTCCCTCCTCCTTCCCTCCTTGGCTGGGCCCGCCCCGACCCCCACCTTGCTCCTGCTCAGGATCTGCACTGTGGTGGTTCGTTCAAGCTAGCACTGGATCCCCGGTCCAACACTAACTTCCCAAAGAAATCTGTACAGTGGTTCTACCTATTCACTCCCCCAAATCCCAGTCAGCCCTGGACCCCATTTTATTGCCTCCTCTCAGAAATGGTGTTTCATGTCACCAAGAAGGAGCTGTTGCAGGTGAGATCCTAATTCTGCCATTCATGAGCTGAGAAGCTCTGGGCAAGCCACGTAACTTGCTGTCCCGGCTTCCTCCTCTGGCAAGTGCTGCCAAAACCAGCACCTGCTCCCCCAAGGCCCCCCATGAGGCTGCAGGGTGAATACATGCAAGCAGCATGCAGCAGTGGTCCCGTGGGGACCGTGAGTGCGAGCGTGAGCAAATCCCATGCTCCAGCCCTAGCACTCCTGATGCAATAACATGTCAGCAATACATAGTTGAACCAGCCATGAGGACGAAAGAAGAGAACCTCACTCAACTGTCCAATCTTTACACTTACTCTGTACAAGACAGAAATTTTCACTGGTTTCTAATGCTTAAAAAATAAGTACTATGCATTTTATTCTCTGTAAGTAAAACTTCATTTAGCCCGAGCTGAGTGTTCTATGAAACAGTATCTTCATGATAGGAATATTTTGGTTCTGAAGTTTTCACAAGGCTACTTCTGAGGAACAATCATAAAAGGCCTGAAGAAGGTCCCCACCTTCCCAAGTCACTTTCCTCACCAATGGGAACACTGTAGCTAATGACAAGGCGTGTGCATCTAAGGACAGGGCTTGTACTGACTTACGCAGAATCTGGTTCATACTTCAGCACGACGCTTCCCTTTGCTGCAAGAGAAACAGACACACATTTGCCGAGTTTTCCAGGGACTGGATGTGTGCGCTGAGCACGTTTCTGCACCTAGTGATGTGTTAGGTATTCCGAAGAAAGAGAACAACAAATACTCTACATTCTTGGCCTCGAGGATCTAGATGGTGAAAAGAGGCCATCTGAACACATGAACCAAGTCCAAATGACGCAGTAGGGACGATCTGGAAGAGGACCGAGGCAAAAGCCATTCAGGGCCTTCAAGGGATGTCACCTGACAAGCCACTCTGAGAAGCAGGGAGGCCGGGGATTAACTGCTGGTTCATTCTTCAAAATTCAAGATTAAATAAATGTAACACCAACTCCCAGAATGGCATGAAATACATAAAAACTGTCTAAAACAATACTGCAATCATCTAAGTGCAGGATTAAAACAAAACCAGTATAAACAGTTCCCTTATCCTTTACAAGAATCTCCACTTTAAATTGTGGTTCTTGCCTGGAGACGGCAGCGGGAGGCAGACTCCACAGAGCAAGTTTTATATCCCGAAGGAACGCAAAGTTTTAAACGCAAGTAAGAGACATAACTGCAAGAAGTGATTCATGTACTTTTGATCAAATTGACCCAAAAATATTAAACAGCAAGTTATTTAAAAAAATAAACAAGAATGAAGACAACAGAAAAACAAAATTAGAAGAGCCTGGAGAAGTGATTTTTATGCTTAGGGGAAAAGGTCACTGGAGTGATGTGAAGTGGAAGTTGATGACATATAAAAGCAGCAATACGACCAATAATCTACTCTGGCTGGCTAGCAGAAAAGTCAGAACCGCTGGCAAGACTCTGACTTTGCTCTAACACAGGCGATTAAAATCCGCATGTTAGCCAGTCTTGTGAGGCTGTGTACGTTAAAAAACAAATTTACCAGCCGGGCGCGGTGACTCACGCCTGTCATCCCAGCACTTTGGGAGGCCGAGGCGGGCGATCACTAGGTCAGGAGATCGAGACCATCCTGGCCAACATGGTGAAATCCCGTCTCTACTAAAAATACAAAAAATTAGCCGGGCATGGTGGCAGGCGCCTGTAGTCCCAGCTACTCAGGAGGCTGGGGCAGGAGAATGGCTGAACCCAGGAGGCGGAGCTTGCAGTGAGCCGAGATCGCACCACCGCACTCCAGCCTGGGTGACAGAGCGAGACTCCGTCTCCGGGAAAACAAAAACAAAAACAGATTTACCCAGGCACAGAGACCTACTTCCACCCACCCCCGACCTGCTGACAGGCAAGTGGGTCAAGAGCTCTGGCTGCGGGCCCTGCTAGGGCTGCTCACAGGCCGACCCCTCCTCTCCCCGGAACTCTGGCCCAGCAAGGTGAGCGAAGGCCAGCCCTGCATGCCACACAGACACACCACAGGCTGCTGGGCAGCAGTGGGGCACCACCAGGGCCTGGGGAAGTACAGCAACCCCAAGATGGCTTTGACCCTTAGCATTCTGAATTGTCAATCAGGGATCTACAGAGCCCTCTGGAAACTGATGTAGCCATAAATAAATTGAAAAATATGACTGATAAATATGCCCCAGAGTACACCACCTGTATTTCTGCCATCCTTTTAAAAGGGAATACAAGCTATATGTCTATGCATTTCAAACTACTCACCCAGGTCCTTCGCTTGACTGTACGTCTCACTGCTGAGTTTTCTAAAAAAGGGATTTTCCTGGGTCAATAGTATCTTAACATCTTCCATTGATACAGTAATTATTCTTGAATTAATAAATGGATACAACGTATATATTCCCTGTGTGAACAAAGAGAAGGGATACCATGATGTCATTCACCAACAACAATAGCCTACTCTCCGGCTATGATGGCCTGTCGAGCCCTCACTACGGCCCCTCCCCTTGGACAGGTGTGGAACCCGCCCCCTATGAGGGGAAACCAGCACCCTGCGTGAGCTCAATAACCTCTGAGGGTCAAGTGGCTGGTAGGTGCCAGCCAAGCCCTGAGCCACTCAGACCATCTGGCTGACCAGAAAGCCCATCTACTCCCAACTGCTTCAGTCATCTGTGGCTACTGCTGTTCAAATCCACTTCCAAAATTACCTCCTGTGCCAGCCGGAAAGCACAGTCAAACTCTTCCCCACTGTTATTTCGACACCAGACTTTTATCCCTGTGTTAATAACCTTTAAGTAAAAAAAAGATGAGTAAATATAAGATGAAGCACACAGAGGTGAACACAGGACCATCTCCCGCAAGGACGCTGGGCCACATGGAGCAGCCGTCATGGAATGCGAGAGGAGAGGAGAAGCAGAAACCCACTGAGAAACCCCGGTAAGAACCACCTGATACTCGCAACTTGTGTTTACGTAGTTTAGAGGACAGTAAAGCAAACGAAAGAAGGGCCCCCAAATGGCCAAATTCTAAGGGAAGTGTCTCAAAGGACAAATCCCAAGGGTCGAGGCAGCAGTACTCGCAGCCTCTAGGCCCTCGGTACCTTCTCTGCCCAGGAGGGCAGCTGTGAGAACTACACCAAGGCTCACCCGGCTGTGGGAATGGGGCACAGAAAAGACACAGGCCACCAGATGCGGGACTCTGATAGGAACCACTCAGCCCTGCGCCAGTCAACAGCTCTGAAATCACAGGGCAGGCTCAGGGACCCAGAGCCGTCACTACAGGTGGGGAGGGCAGATGCCAGGGTCTGCTCCAAATGAAACCTAAGCGGCTGTGAGAAGCCACACGCATCCTGAATCACACAGCACTCGGCGTCTGCGCGGCAGGCACCTTCATCTTCTCGCTGTTGTTCAGCAGCACGTTCCGCAGCTCCTTAGAAACCATGTAGAGCTGCCTCTTCTTCCCTTCTGTCGTCCGAGTCAGCAAATTCATCCTCGGGAATGAAGGCGCCAAAGCATAAAATTTCCTGCACACAGAAACGGTGTTGTTTACACACAAGGACTTCAACATCTGGTAGACTGTTCTAAACACCTTATTCTCCTCCTCTAGAACTCAATCCCTAAAACTGCAGTGTGGTTCAAGGGCACTGCGCTCTGTTCTGGACTCCAGCTTCTAAACTTCATCCACTTCTACCTGAAACCCCCACGCAACATTTGGGGCACGACTTGATCAGAAACCTAAATTAACAAGTGCAACTTCTCTCCCTCGGCCGCTACTCCAATAACAACGACCTGGTAACACTACTTCCGAGACTTTTTTTTTTTGAGACGGAGTCTTGCTCTGTCGCCCAAACTGGAGTGCAGTGGCGTGTTCTCGGCTCACTGCAACCTCTGCCTCCCGGGTTGAAGTGGTTCTCCTGCCTCACCACCACACCTAATTTTTTTTTTTGTATTTTTAGTAAAGACGGGTTGTAAAGACGGGTTGTATTTTTAGTAAAGATGGGTTGTATTTTTAGTAAAGACCACCAGGTTGGTCAGGCTGGTCTCGAACTCCTGACCTCGTGATCTGCCCACCTCAGCCTCCCAAAGTGCTGGGATTATAGGCATGAGCCACCGCGCCTGGCCGAGACTTACTTTTTAATAGACTTTTACAAATGGATGCAAAGCACCAGTTATGCAAAAGACAGTAAGTGACCGCCCTGGTAAATAGATTCTAAAATTCAATGAGTAAGAACAAAATGAATGTCAGACTTATCCTAAACCCTTTTCCTCTATGTTCTGTCTATGTCGTCCCTAATTAGCCCCCACACACGCAGCTCTTCATTTTTCTACAGAAACTGAACTAGACAGCCTTGGCCACTGGTCTATATAGTCAACTCAGCAATTTAGGTTCAGGATCACAACTAATTTAGATTCATAATCTAAATAATCAGTTTTTTTTATCTATCATGTTCACAAAGTTTACTTTCTCCTTAAATTGAAAGGTTGAGTAAATAACCTCTAAAGTTTCATCCTACTCTAATATGCAGTTTAAAAGGTTAAAAAAAAGAAGCTAGACAGAGCTACATACAAAACAATGGTTACATGTGATCAGTTGTGCATTTGATACTCTATAGTAAATTTCTTTAAATGAGTAATTTAAAAGGCTGAATCCTTACTCAATAGGTGGAAATAATGGGTCATCTTCAGGAATAAATACAAATGGGTCTTCTTTAAATCCAAATAACTTCATTTTCTTTGATGGAGGAGGACTAAAAAGGAAATCAGGATGAGACAAATCAATCTGTAATGGGTGGTAACCTTCGATACCAAAAGTACATTCTTCCTTTCCGTCAGTTCTGTGCAACATGGAGTTTGCGGCAGCAGATGCTGACACCTTCCAGCTTCCACAGGGTCCGTCCCTCACACTGCATAAACCTGATACCACACATGCACTGCCCCCTCAAACCCACCAGTGGCTCTGGGATCCCATTTAATCCAAAAGGACAGTGAAGACACCAGAGTGTTAGATCAAGACATAACCCCCTTTCTTACCCACACACGCCATCTTTCTTATTGCCATTATTCTCTAAATCCTCAGCTGCATGAGCTATTTCTGTGTCACCAGTTCCTGTGAATGATGGACTTTCCAGCTTAGAGGGATCTGCAGGTTTCCCTTCTGCGGGACCTGCAGGGCTCAGCTGTGTGCTTTCTCTGGTCTCTGCAGATTTACCCTGCAGCTGTCATAGAGAACAATTTCATTGACACACAAAGAGCAGCATTCTTTGTGCTGCTACGAAAAGTTAAAAATAACAAGCTCACAAAATCCATCAGTTCTATGTTTCCTACAGCATTATATGTAGAGAAAGACAACAGATTTTTTTTAAAGTGTCATTTTAAATCTATTTGCTATTATAAACAAAATTCATGGACAGTTTCTTTGGAGTTAAAGCTGATTCTACCTTAATCCCACAAAGAGCATATATAGCCTGTTCCTTAGCAGAGGCTTACAACACCAGCTTATTCTCATGTAAAAATGCTTATCGTGCATTCTGCTCTGGGTAAGGCACACTGAAGGACACAAAGTGCAACAAGCACGATTTCTAAAATACCCGGCGAGGCAAAAAGACAAGTATATATATAATGAGAAAGGAGGGTAGGAACTGTTTCTGGGCACCTGGACAAACTGCCACAGGAACTAGAAGACAGAGTGCCCCAGGCACCAAGGAAACACCTGCCAAAGAATGAACTTCTGAATCAGGGCCACGGTATAATTTAAATTTGGCTTTGGGAATGAGCAAAATGTTTTACTTTCATTAAAGATCTTTTAAAAATACGTGTCCTTTTTAACAAGTCACAAAACTGATAAAAGTCGTAATTCCTCAGTCCCTATGAAGTAAGTTTTAAAAATAGGATTATTTCAGCACAGGCAAGTTCATTTTATTCAGAGCCACAAAGCTACTAAGCAGAGAAGCCGGGAGCATCCCAGGGAACACATTTTATTGCCATGTTAATATAATGTAAAAAAGCAAAAAACAAAACAGATGAACCCCAAGCCTGTGAGCAGGTCAGTGAGGGCACACACCCCTCCCATCCAACCTTAGCTTCTCCCAGAGGGGCGTTCTTGTTGAGTCCAAGGGCATGTTCTCCCATCTCTGTTCTACCTCAACAACCTCATTCTGGACCTTCAAATACCAAGGTCAGTGTCAGCCTCCCTGGCCTGACTTCCAGCCGAGTGCTTACAGGCCTCAGCACCACAAAAGATCACGGCGTCCTGACCACGGGGACTCTACCTGCGTTCCCAGTAGGACCAACAGCAGCACAGGCCATGCTAGCACTAGATCTGTTGAACTAAATGAATAAGAAACTGACACCCTAACAGAAAGAGAGAAGTATTCATATTACTTAAATAAGAAAATGACAATAGGTTGTTCTAAAAAGTAAGATTACACATAAGGGACGAACTGAAAAAAAAGTCAAAAACCTTTCTACATAAGTATTAACACATCAGAAACGTCAATGTAATTCCCAATGCAGGCCAACCTAAAGCATGCGTCTCTAGGACAGGCTCCCCTGTGACCGCACTGTGCTGTGCAGCTGGCAGTCACGAGCCTGTGGGCACCGACCACTTAAAATGTGACAAGTGCAAAGTCTAAAACACATACCTAGTATGAGTGAATGCAAAGTATCTAATACTTTACAATATAATTTCTTAGACTGATTCCATGAAAATAACATTCCATCAGAGTTAAGACACCTTGCGAGACTTTTAGCCTCCAAGTGAAACACTTTCTAACCGGACAGAAAAACCCTGGTGACGGCAGGAGAAGTGCAGTCGCCCCCTTTGCCAGTCTGAGGCTGTACATTCCAACGTTAATCTGCATAAACTGTGCCCCAGAAAAAGGCTGGAGCTCTTTGCGGAACTGTTTCCTTTTTGTTCCTCCATAGGCTGAGCTTTTTTGTCCTAATTTTCAAGCATGGATCTTAAAGAAATAGAGACTTCCAGACTTTGATTCCAGGCCAGGTTCTATCATCATGGAAGGCAGATTTATGAATAAATAATGCTGGCGTGATACAGGTGAGACAGGATGCGTTACAAAGGACTGTGTTAGGATGAAGGCAACACTCTTTCTTCACCACTCTGCCTCCTGGCCCGCCTTGGAAAGCAACCAGCAGGCAGTTTAGATCCACCGCAAACAGGCCGGGCTGCATCTTTCTAGCCAGGTCTGGACAAGGCTGTCACCGTTCCTCGCAGCCAAGGTCAGCAGAGCTCTGCTATCTGTAATCGGTGAAATGAGCCACTCACAAGGACTGGAGCACAAACACCTGGGGCTTCCGATTCAGAGCTACCGAGCAATTTTTCGTGTCTTTTCAACTTTTATTAAATAACTGGATTTACAGTGTGGCAGGAATACATTCCCCCAAACACTGACTTCTCCACGTAACTATCACCTATGAGAAATTTCTGCTTTTTGGAAAACTTGATATTTAAATGAATTTCCCCCTCATTCAGGCTCAGCTCTCCTGCTGCCCACAGGAAGAAGCTCTTCTTTCCTCTGCACTTCTACTACACTCCGGCTAGTTTTTGCCTTAAATGTATAAGATCAAATGTTATGTCATTTTGGAAAAAGAAAAACTCACCTTTGGCTGACGTTTATTCCACGGCATTGAAGATTTTTTCACCAATACTGCCACAAAAAACCCTCCAGTATTCTGATGATGCGGTAATATCCTAAGGCTAAATATATATACATATATAAAATTCACACTTCTGAACTAATCAAAAATGCATTCTTTTACTATTAAGACAAATACTGCAAAGATGATGCAAGAGAAAAACCATGTCTTCAACCCTCACTTATAGAATGGTCAATATGTAAACTTACATTTTCTTTTTTTGAGACAAGGTCTGGCTCTGTTGCCTAGGTGGGAGCGCAGTGGCATGATCTTGGCTCACTGTAGCCTCCACCTCCGGAGCTCAGGCAATCCTCCTGCCTCAGCCTCCCAAGGAGCTGGGACTACATACAGACATGCAACACTCCGCCTGGCCAGTTTTTTTTTTTTTTTCCCCTGTAGAGATGGGGTCTTGCCACATTGCCCAGGCTGGTGTCAAACTTTTGAGCTCAAGTGATCCACCAGCCTTGGCCTCCCAAAGTGCTGGGGATTACAAGCATGGGCCACTACACCTGGCCCACTTTGTAATCTTTAAAAAGTTCATGAAGGCTGAGCACAGTGGCTCATGCCTGTAATCCCAGCACTTTGGGGGGCCGAGGCAGGCAGATCACCACAGGTCGGGAGTTCGAGACCAGCCTGGCCAATGTGGTGAAAATCCGTTTCTAATAAAAATACAAAAATAAGCCAGGCACGGCGGCGGGCACCTGTAATCTCAGCTACTTGGGAGGCTGAGGCACGAGAATTGCTTGAACCCAGGAGGGAGGTTGCAGTGAGCCAAGATCGAGCCACTGTACTCCAGCCTGGGTGACAGTCAGACTCTGTCTTAAAAAAAAAAAAAAAAAAGTTCCTGACATATCCTAAGCATTACCATTTACATTCTAGCCAATTCCACTATTAATAAATGCTCAATGCCAGCAACTAACAGGCAAGAGAGCCATATTGGCGGGGAAGTTCACACACATGGGGTTGACCCTGGCATAGCCCAAGCCTCACAGCAATGTCACCTGCTGCCTCCAACTCACCCCAACAAGACTCACCAGCTCACCAGGGACGGGGCTTAACCTTCCCCCTCCCCACACCTGGAGGCCCCACCAACTCACCATCGCTCCAGGTGCATGGCCTGCAGCTTTTCCGGGTCTTTCGGAGGGAACATGGTGGGTCGGATCTGGGTATGTCTGCTGTGAGGAACGGTGTCCCAGTCTGTAAACCACTGCCCATCTTTCGTCATTACCTGCAGAACCACAGGGTACATTCCAGATTACTAGCACTATCCAGTGACAAAAATCACAGGGTAGCAGTGTCCATTCTCTCAAAGGTAACAAATGGTCATTCTCCTTCGCTCCAAAGACAGGAAGATTATTTGCCAAGACAAAACAAAACAATCCTTACAGAAAATCCCCAAATTATTAATACATAAATTCTGTTAAAAACAAAGATGAAATACATTTATTCTAAAAACCAGTACAAGCATGATAAGATAACATTTTCCATCTAGTGATTTCTTTTTAAACAAGCCCCAGGCTGTTTCTGGCCTAAAATTGTAATGAATTATTTCATATTGCAAACAAGGCTTGAATCCCAGCCCAATTTAAAAAAAAAAACTTAAAAAAGCAAAGCTACCCTTACAGGAATGAGAGTAGAGGAGTTTATTTCCGAACATGGAGTAAAGAAAACTTTTCCACCGCCAGGAATAAACATGCCACTTGTCATGAAATGTGTCATGAAATAACACTCTGAAATGGATTCTAATTGGCACAGCAGATGTAGTATTTACTCAAGTTACCCACACGTGAATGCTTTCAAACTTGACTCTACTTCGGTGATGCTGCACCTACTCTTTAGAACGAAAGTTCTCGAGGAAAGGTTACCTTCCACTGTGTGATTCCAGGCATCCACTTCAGCCCTGGCAGTTCATCAGACACATCAGCGAGCTCCAAAGCACCTGTGTAGCAAAAGCATGGACGTCTTTTGTTTTTCAAAAAAGTATAACATACTATGCCCAGTGAAAAAACCAGACACAGATCACATATTATGAATCCATGTACAGAAAATGTCCAGGGAAGGCAAACCTATCGACAGAAAGTGGATGAGTGGTTGACGTGGCTCGGATGGAACTGGGAGCAAGTGCTGTTGGGCAGGAAGGGTCTGCTAGGGTGACAGGAATGGCCTAAAGCTGGACTGTGGTAAGGGGCTGCCAACTAGGTAAACTTACTAAAAATCACTGAACCGTACACTTAAAACGAGCGAACGTTAACAATATGTAAACGACACCTCTAAGTTGTTCCAATGACAGGGCATTGAGGAGTCCTGCCACGAACGCGAGACTAACTCCGCAAGAAGAGAAACAGGAGGCTGGGCTGCAGGACGCCTGCTCCGTCTCCCCATTCCAGTGCACACCAGGGCGATGCTGTGGGTTTTCATGCAGGCATGTCTAACAAACCTCCCAGAACAATGCTGAAAATGAACTGTGGGAATTTTTAAACCTCAAGTTTGTGGTCCCAGGAAGTTTCCTAAAACTGCCCATCAGGACACAGTCAGCCCGATTTTAAAACAATGCAATAATAGCTGTGAACACACACTGGCCTTAAGTGTCCATACCAGTGACACAACAAGAAGCTATAAGGTGAGGCCATTACAGGAAACTGGTGAGACCGGCTACTAGCACAGATACTGATGTGACAGCCTCTCAGCAGAGGAAAATTCATCAAATCTCCCAGAAAACACGAAAATGGGACAATGACAAAAACAAAGCAGAAGAATCCCCAAGACAGAGCGCGGCAGTAAGAAACCTCTGAAGCAAGCACTGGACTGATTGCTGCCATCATTTGTGCATTCTCTTCCTTTTAAAAGCTAACACTAAATGACAGTGCAGGCAAACACTGACGGGCTTCTCCATCAAACACTGTCCAGGGGCCTCATAAACGAGCAGGGCAGGCATCAGGTGTTACCTCCCCATCCCAGCACCTGGGTTGGAAGCTGCCAGTGCTGCCCCATGTTGCCCTTTCTCCAGTAAAGCTGCTGAGCACTTTCAGGTGGGGAATGCACCCCACTCCAGTCAAAATCACCAGCAACCACCTACTCTAAGGCTCAGCCAAGGTCTGCTCCTTCCTGGATAGAGCCATATCCACGCACACCGCCTCTGACAGAGGAACGGAAGGAAGCATCTCCAATGCGGTCTGAAGCCCCCACACGCAGAAAGCTGGCCGTGACGTCATACTGCACACAGGCCCCCCACCGCAGCTGCCGTGATCAACCGCACCCCCCCCCCCCCCATCGCACCCCACCCCCCCACCGCGGCCGTGCAACCCCCCCCCCCACACGCAGAAAGCTGGCCGTGACGTCATACTGCACACAGGCCCCCCCCACACAGAAAGCTGGCCGTGACGTCATACTGCACACAGGCCCCCCACACGCAGAAAGCTGGCCGCGACATCATACTGTACACCAGCCCCCCACACGCAGAAAGCTGGCCGAAAAGTCTGAAAAGATTTGCAAGCATTCACTCAGAAAACCAGCAGTAACATTCTAAATACAAGAAAAATACAGACACTCCAGCCTGGGGAACAGAGCAAGACTCCATCTCAAAAAAAAAAAAAAAAAATGCTTCCCACCTTGCAAACACACATACAGACAGACATAAAGTCAGCTAGAGCCACAAATTTAGTGAAGTCTGAAAAGACTGGCAAGCATTCACTCAGAAAACCAGCAGTAACATTATAAATACAAGAAAAGGAACCAGCCAGCCAGTCTGAAAAGCAGAAAGACCAATGAAAATCCATAAGCAAGAAAGTTTCAGACCGGATGAAGACGAACCAGGACAATCCCACATCTGCTCGTCCCTCCTCACAATCTTGATCACTAGCATTCCCGTTTTCTTTTTCACCCTGCAGCTCTTCCTCACTGCCCCGTGCCTGGGTCACACTTGCTCACTCTTAACTTTCAAATGCGGTGCACGGTGTGTGAGGTTCTGTCCACTCTTCCCCGACTAGAGATCAGTGGGTTTTCAGGAGAATGATGCTTCCCCACTGCTGCTGCAAAGAGAGACCCATGGGAATGAGAACTAGAACTTTGATTCAACCTGCTTTCAGATGACAACCCCTCACGAAGCCACTCCTTCAAACACTGGCATGTTCAGGAAACAGGAGAGGGTGGCAGACAGCATCCAGAGCTCCAGGCAAGTAACCCAGTCCTACAGCACAGCCAGCCTAAAGAGCACACAGTGTGTTCTCTGAACGGTGACAATTTCGTGGTAATGAGACAGGCAAACGGCAAGTATCTCAAATCAGCAAGTCCTGCCTGCAACGGATGATTCCAGCCATGAGTAAGGACAGGCTTGTGCGGGCAAGAGCCTCTCTCGCCTAAGAACTTAGGAGACCTGGCTTTTGGTCCCAGCTACAAGCTTACAACAGAAAAAGGGGAAAAATTAACCACCTAGAGTACTTAACTAGGCAACAGAGACTTAGGAGAGTAGCAAATGCTTAAAGAATCTACAAACATTTTAAGTTAAGCAGCACAAGATGGGCTGTGACCGCTCACCCCAAGTTAAGAAAGCCGCTCACCGAGAAACCGGGAGAAGCTGTCTTTAAAAAAGACAAGGCGCACCAGCAAAGAATGCAGTGAGAACGCCCAGGAACTGGGGCTCGCCCTCAAGTCTGAGTTGTAAATGGCAACTAGGCATGCAAATTAATAAATGCAATCCATTTTCTTTCTCAGGGATCTGAAAGCAGACTGTGGCAAGGGAAATAGGAGGTGTTTGTGCTGTTCAAGGTGCCTGGAATCATGGTTTTCTAAATTCCTAGCTAATGAACACAAAAATCTGAGCAGGATTCAACAGTCCTAACAACCAATCCCAAATCACACTTGAAGGAGTAATTTCACTACAACTAAACCACTATGTCCCCCACGCTCCCCCTCACACACCTTTTGGAATAAAGTATCACCAACACCATGGCAATTATGACCATGCAAAACACATCATCCAGAAATGACATCTTTACAGCGGTCTACGTAAGCACAGGAAAATAAACACAACAGTAAATTCCAGCTTAAAGGACTGTGAAGGCATCCACAACCACAGGGCTGAGGGCACAACCCAGACCAGCCAGTCGCCGAGGGGAGCCTCACTGGAAGGATGGCAGTGGGTGGGCACTGCCCAGGAAATGCCTGTCTCACTGGCTACGCACCAACTGACTTCACACACATGGGTACAGGAAACACGGTAAGTTTGAAATCTCTCATTATTGACTCTAAGGAGAATATGATGGGAAAAGTTAACATTTTGGCAAAACATAAAAGGAGAAATACTTTCTATCAATACACTGTAGAAATACGTTGCTGTTTCAGAATATTCTGTATTATCTGTCGGTCCCTCAGTATAAAACTGTATGAGGTGACCTCACACCCACTAGGATGGCTATTAACAACAAAGAGCCCCAGATAAGAAGTGTCCCTGAATGTGTAGAGAAATTGGAGCCCTTGTGCACTGGGGGTAGAAACGTAAAATGATGCAGCCACTGTGAAAAAGAGCATGGTGGGGTCCCCCCAGAATTAAACACAGAATTACTATATGATCCTATGATCCAGCCATTCGACTTCTGAGCGTATATCCAAAGAATCGTAACCAGGGTCTTGGAGAGAGATTTGTATACCGTGCTCACAGCAGCATTGCTCACAACAGCCCAAAAGTGGAAGAAACCCAGATGTCCATCAACGGATGGATGGGTAAACAAAATGCGGTTTACATAAACAACAGAATAGTGTTCAGCCTGAATAAGAAATGCAATTTTGACACACACTACAACACAGGTGAGCCTTGAGGACACTGCAGTAAGTTAAATAAGCCCCCAGTCACGAAAAGACAAATACAGTATGATTCCGCTTCTGTGAGGTCTAGAGTAGTCAAATTCACACAGACAAAAAATAGAATGGTGGTGTGAGGGGCAGGGAAGAGAGACGGCAGCTGCTGTTTAAAGGAGTTCAGAGTTTCAATTTTGCAACGTGAAGATTTCTGGAGATGGACGGTGGTGATGATTAACAATGGGAATATACCTAACGGGACTGAACTGCAGGCTCAAAAATGATTAAGATGGTAAGCCTCATGTTATGTGTATTGCAGTACAATTAAAAATTTTTAAAAAACAGTGATAAGGATCTGACAATCTTTCAAACTTAGGAAAAAATAGCCAAAACTCCTTTTGTTTCCAAACCTCCAAATTCCAATCAATTCACAAAATACAGCAAATCCACATATCCACGTGTTTTTAACTAGGACATCTCCTTAACCCATAACCGTAAGTTAGAGGTTCATCATATAAACAAATTCCCAGGAAAAGGTCTACATGAATACAAAACACAAAGAAAAACAGCGTTTCTGAAAAGCGTATGCTGTTAAAAAAAGATCCATCAAGTGTGCTTACCTTCACTTTTTTCCAGTAAAGATGCTATGACTGCTTCATCCTCAATAGGGTTTAGTGAACATGTGGAATACACCATCCTTCCACCTTCAGCCAGCTGTTCAGCCCCGCGCGTTGCAATCCGCAGCTGTAAGCTAAGGGGAGATATCAGGTGACTGTAAGGCCAAACATATCCATAAAGTGCACATATTAGAAGCACCTACTTACGTCACATATTCATTACAAGTTTTTGTAACACAATTATACTTTAAAAAAAATCTTATAGGGATCTAAGTAAGTTAGAGTAAACTTCTATGAAGTATTTCATGTTAATAAAAAAATGTATTATATAAATGTTCTTACTGGTCTGTTAACCTTTCCCAATATGTCAACCAGCAAAGCATAAAGTTCAGTAACAACAGAATTCAACGTATCAGATGAAATTTCACTATTTAAAAAACCTCCATACTTTCTAAATATGTGGTATTTCTACGAAAAATTGGTATCATACATTCCAGTCCTAACTCTTGTCTCTGTGTCACAAAACAGTAGACAGTATTTTACGGAGGTGAGGCCTCCTGCTATAACTGGCTGTGGTGGATGCTAATTAGTATGCTTTGGCTCAGGCACAGTACAGTCCTGCATGCAAGACCATGGCATTTGTCATGTCAAATGAAAAAAAGAATACAAAGCTCTATAGACAGCATAATCAAAAGTATTTGAAAAAAGTACTTAAAAAATCCCTATAAACAGAAAAACAATACAATACACCAAACATTAACAGACACGATCATTGTGTTATGAGATTTCTCTTTAAGAATGTTCCAAATGTTCTTCAACGAAGAGTTCCCCATCATAAAAAACCAACCGAAAAATACTTCTAAGAGATCAAAATGTCTCTTAGCAAAACAATGATACAAGAGAACAAAAACAGAGAGAAAAAATTAGTAACACATATATCAAGAAGTAAATGGTCATTTCATGGAAAAATACATATTTGAAGTGTTGCAGGAAATTTTTACAGAAGGCATTTTTCATCAACATGTTATCTGAAAGGTCTACAATGTGCAGTTACTGCTCCTGAAAGGTTTTCAAATAACTTCTGATCAAACTGCTGAAGGTGGCCATTGCCCATCCTCTGATGCTTACAGCTCTATAATGAAAGATTGGATGCTCAGTTGCATAACAATAAATCTGTGCTAATCTACTTGTCACACAGCGTCAGCAGTGATGAAGTTTTACTTACCCATGTAGCTGCAAGCTATTTAAGGTGGTCCACTTTTTCCAAACATCAATGTTTTTTCTCATAGTGCCGTCTCCACTGGAAAAAAAGGTATTTAAGAGTGTAAAGCTCCCTACAGGTGGATGACTGCACTTTAAAAGATATGTCACATTCAAGCTAAGTGACAAAACAAGCATTACAAATACCAATTAGGAAACAATCTCCATTTTCACCAACTACAATTAACTTTCCATTTTTGTTTTCGGGATTTTCTGATGTATTATACTTTTAAATTATACTTCAATTTTCAAACAGAAAATAATGGATTTGAACAGCAAACTCCAATTGCTATCTAAAGAGATATTAATGTGCTTCCATTTGGAAAAAATACTAGGCAAGACTAATTTGCAGACCTAGGACACAGACCCTAAAATACTATTGAAAACCTCAGTTAATCAACGATATTTTAATCCGAATGACATGAATAATGACTAGTAAGAAATTTTCCACAGTTAGGCTAATATATTAGTTAAATTTTTCCTACAATCACAGTTAAACATTTCTGACTTTCTACTTTTATTTAATGAAAACTATTTTCACGTTTTTGTTAATGGAAGTTACTTCCATGTGTATTTCATAATAAAGACTGGATTTGTTACTTTCTGTGCCTAATTTTATCTATCCTGTTTTCCCAGAAGGTAATGCATTTCTGCTGGCTTCCTCTGTAAATGCTGATTTTCCTTGGTGGTCTAGCCCCATGTACAGGAGGGACTAGGTCTGCAGGATGGAAGTGTCCCATGAGATGTAATCCCCACTTTACAATGGCATTCCTGGCTGTACACTAGTGGCTTGCATGGTAGAAATCCCACCACAATTTCAGAAATTTCCCCAGCTTGCAACCTCTTGCTCATAAGGTCACTGTGTTCTCAGATCTCAGAATATGATACAAGGAACAAGTTTATCTTTCTGATCAAAAAACAGGTGTGGGAAAACATGAGACCCAAAGGAATACTGAAAAATTGCAACCTAGGGGAAATAAAACTTCAGTTCATGACCTATTTTAAATTTTACTTTCAAGAGGACTTTTTCCAGATATTTTAACACTCGGCTATATTCAGAGCCACCAGCTGCAAGTTTCATACTGAGTTCTGCCATGAGCAGTAACTCTGCCACTCACTGAAACAAAATGGCATTCTTCCATAATGTGGTATCATATTTAAACCTTGCATTCTGTGCTAACAAGTTTTGTGGCAGCTTTTGGATTCTGGTCTTGACAAACTTATGTCATTCAGAAGGCATTATCACCTGGGATCATCATCTGTGCACCTCCTATGGGAACGGAACAGATGACGTCTTTACTTGTGTTTCTTTCCTTTTAAAAAAACTGTTACTCAGTTATACCATGAGTATTATTTTATAATAATATACTAAATAAACTATTTTAGTTTATTAACAAAACTAGCTTAAAAAATAATAAACTATTTTATAAATATAAACTAAGTATCTAAAATGTTGACATATTATCTCAAGAAAGGTATAAATACACAAGTAAAATGAATTTCTTAAGGGCTTGAACTCCAAAATGTCCTTTTTTTTTTTTTTTTTTTAAGATGGGGTCTCTCACTCTGTCGCCCAGGCTGGAGTGGTGGCACCATCTTGGCTCACTGCAAGCTCCACCTCCTGGGTTCACACCTCAGCCTCCCGAGTAGCTGGGACTACAGGCGCCCACCACCACACCCGGCTAATTTTCTGTATTTTGTTTAGTAGAGATCGGGTTTCACCGTCTTAGCCAGGATGGTCTCCATCTCCTGACCCTGTGATCCACCCGCCTTGGCCTCCCAAAGTGCTGGGATTACAGGCGTGAACCACTGCACCCTGCTCAAAATTCCTCTCATTGAACTAAATACCATAAAATCCAATGTGATTGCATATTATCCTATGACAAAGTTTTTTTTATATACTGTACTCACTGGAAGAACTAATACAAAATAGTAGGGGTGCACAAATTGTTCCAAGCAATGACATCCTAAAACACACCACGATGACTCTAAGATTCTATTCTCCTCTTAGGTATTTTCTCAGTTTTTTTTTCTCTTTCTCTTTCTGCAGGTTATCGCAACCACCCCTTTCTGTTCTTTATCCAGCATCTGCTGTGCTGCTTCTCATTAACACTCTACGTGTCCATCTTTTGGTTTTGGCTCACGCTATCTTTCTTTGCACCCCAAGACTCACATACAAATGTGTCATGTTCATGCACAACTTCATTTAGTCTCTATTTGACTTGATATCTTTAGTGGATTTGGGCTTTCTGGCCAATAAGAGACATACCTGCAAGGGACATCACATAAAATTCGATCATAGAAGAGGATCTCTTTCCTGCCGTCCACATCTATCTGGAGCCTGGGTATGCTGGAGGCATCATGGTTGACCACCATGATGCAGGGGCTGCTCAGCCTCTTGGCTTGATGGACGAGCAGGTAGCAGCGCTTGTTGTCCACATCATTAGCAATAACAAATCCCTCTGGAGGCACAGAATTGCAGTGTCAGGTGAAACAGAGCCTAACGGAGTCACATCCTGAAATATGTGACCTCTAAAGGTCAGCCAGTGAGAAGCAGCAATCCACCAAACTTAAGACCCACAGTCAAGGTTTTCTAGAAGTATGTTAAGTGGTTCAAAAAAACGAACCAGGTGGCTCTGGATGGATTTTTATGGACACTTGAATTTTGAAAGCCTCAGAAGTCATCTATTCAACAATTATTCACTTTGTGCCAATTACCATACCAAAAATGTCTTTTCTATTATTAGTAACAATTAATTACCAAAAAAAGATGAGGAGAAAGGTGTAGAAACAACAAAATCACCTTACAAATGTTTTAAAATCCTGAACATGAGCCGGGACTCTGCTCTGACTGTGAGTCAGGCTCCCAGGGTGGGGCCCCAAGCACCTGAACGTGGAAGCTCTTCCTGGGAGGCTCTGCAGGCTGAGAATTCTACTGGGTGTGCCTCTGCTCATTTCTGGTTCTTCTCACACCCCCAGCAAAAAGGCAAATATACCGACAACATTTATGATCAAAGCCACTCTTCAAAACAGTATAAAACGCAAAACATCCACAAAACAAAGAGGAGAACCTGCTGCTGCTGGGACACCAAGGCTGTTTACTGCCAATGTAGAGAAAATAACTAAAAACAGGGAAAAGTGAAGCAGGCCTTTTAGCCAAGGCATTATCTTTAAATAACGTAAAAAAGAAGACTTCAAAAAACAGACCTAACAAATATGCCTATTAAAACAGAACTAGGGAAGTTTGCTGGAACAAAGGTAGGACGAGAAGAAAGCTGACTCTAAAACATCACGAGAGGTATTTGTTTCCACTCAATAGAAAGGGGCGCGGTGTCACTATAACAGCTGCCATTTCCTGAGCACCTCGCAAGCTACATACTGATGCATCCCATTTCGTATGGGATGTCTAACACTGTAAGTAACTTGCCGATTGGGATTTGAACCCAGGGAGTCTGACAGTAGCTTTCAACAACTATACACTACCGCCCTTCATGTAAGGCAGTAAGTAATAATAATAATAATAGTAACAATAATGAGCAAAGGTGGGGGAAGGGGGAAGTTGTTACTAAAAATTCAAAGAGTGAAATCTATCTTCCATAAGGAGGCTTGATAAAGAAACACCATTTGCTTTTATAGAAAACACACATAATTCTAAAATAAAGCTCCCCCAAGGCATGAGTGTGCTGGTTTGAGTACTACTGACGGTGGCAGGCAAGATGTCCAGGTCTACTTCCGGTAGACAGAAAACACATCTGCTTGTCACAGGAGACTTTAGGGCCAAATGAGCAGGCAAAGTTAGAGTCTTTTCCTTGTCTACAATCTGCCAAAGTGGCATTCCTACCCTTCCGAACACAAGTCCAATGCATACCTGGAAAGGGGACATTCATGTCGGCATGTAGCATTTCAATTAACTGTGTGGTCTTTGAGCCAGGTGCTGCACACATATCTAAGATCTATTAACAAAGCAAGAAACTGTTTCATGTTTTTAAAAAACCAAATATTCTGCATTTAATTTAAAGCAATTCTAGCTTTTCAATTTCTATTCCCAGATCTAAATATACTTCCTTACAGAGTCTATAGAATGACATACTTTACTTTTAGGGATTCCATAATATACACTGCCCCAAAATCACAGAATGATATAGGTCCAGTCTCCAAAGAGGATGGGAGCAGAATGAAACTGGAAGCCAGTGACACTAATTATAGAGATGAATTAGTAAGAATTATGAGAATATAATGCTAAGGAACAGAGCTACCTAGGCTCAAATCTCAGCTCAGCCACTTATCAGCTCCATAACATCAGGTCAATTACTTCTCCTTGCTTCCTTTTCCTTATCTGGAAAAATGGAAATGGTGACAGTATCTGCCCTTGGATGGCTGTGTGAATGATAAAGCAAACTAATTCACCTAAAGAGCACAGAGCAAGGCCAGAGGCAGTGGCTCATGCCTGTAATCCCAGCACTTTGGGAGGCTGAGGCAGGCGGATCACCTGAGGTCGGGAGTTAGTGATCAGCCTGACCAACATGGAGAAACCCGTCTCTACTAAAAATACAAAATTAGCCGGGTGTGGTGGCGCGCACCTGTAATCCCGGCTACTCGGGAGACTGAGGCAGAATTGCTTGAACTCGGAAGGCGGAGGTTGCGGTGAGCCAAGATTGCGCCATTGCACTCCAGCCTGGACAACGAGAGTGAAACTTTGTCTCAAAAAAAAAAAAAAAGGAAAGAAAAGAGCACCGAGTGATGCTTGCCATACGATGAGCTCTTGATACATGTTCACTACCATTTTCAACCTAATTTAGCCAATCACCATCACTGAAGACAATCCATATAGTAAACAAATCAATAAAACTAAAGGGGAGAAAATAGTTTTCTAAACCATAAAAATTAAGTAGGACAAAAACGAAAAAAAAGAAACTAAGATATGTACATATCACTTTTTATCCAAAGTGAAAAGGAGAAAAAAAGGACTAATTATATTAAGAAAAAATGGTTTCAACAAAACAAACAGGCATGACACTGTTAACAAGCTGCCCGCCCACACGCTTCTAGCTGCTGTACGCTACCTTATGATGAGGCCGGACGTTGAGAAGTAGTGGTGGGATCATGCTAACAGCTTCTTGACGACTGATATTTCCCTTGAGGAAAAAAAAAGGCAGCAACATTTACAAAAACAAACAAACAAAAAACGCAGAGAATTTCAATCTTTGTCATTGTTTCAAAGGCAACAGGAAAACAGCACAAAATCTTACATAGAACAAGAGAACTCATACTATCGCACAGAACACTAAATGAGGATGGATCTGTACACTAGTGGACAAATGGTAGCTTTACCATTCAAGTATTAGAAATTCAGGTAAAATATCAACTTTTATGAAAGAAAAGGGACTTGAAGCTTACAGAATCCCAACTCCCCGTCGCAGGAGAGCACAGAAGCTAGAGGGGCAGCTCTCAAAGACAGAAATGCTATTAAATATTTAAACAAAAACCTTCTACAGCAGACAGCATCAACTTAGGACAGAAAGTGACTGTCAGATGGTTTTTCCTTCTTGCCTAAAATTCTGTTTCTTAGTCCTCCACTATTTTCAGACATAGCCCATGTCCACTTTCTATTTCTCACAACTACCCTTCAAACAGATGAAGACATCAACCACTGCTTCCATCTTTCCATCTTTAGACCATCAATATCTAAAATCCCTCACTACACTCCCTGCCCCGTCTTCTCCAGCGGGCCAGGATATGTTACAAGGCAGAACTGCTCAGGTGCAGACAAAAATCCTCCTGCCCTGGCCCAGCACTAGCCTCAACCACGCCTCTATTTTAACCACCTTGAAGCTAAGGCTTTGCTCCATCACAACCCTACAAAAGCTGGGCCTTCTGGAAATGACCAGCCACCCAGGCAGCCATCACTCAGGCTGTGACTGTCAATACAGGCTTTCACATTGATGGCTGCTAATTTTCACCTCATGGGTTTCTGGCCAGCATGAGTCTGTAATGACTCACTCACTAGGCACACTGATTCCAAGCTTCTGAGTTATACGTATGATCCCGATATGGTGGCCTTCTGTCTCCATCCAAGGTTTAAATTAAAGCATTAAGTAAGACGGGGACATCCCGGCAGACAGTCACCAGATTCATGATCACCCCATGTAGACGTTTTGTGGCCAGCTTTCCATAACCCAGAGGTTACTGCCATTCATCTCAAGAACTCTCATCACGCTGACTCCTAATCAAAAACCTTCACTAGTTCCCTACATCTGGACTACATCTGGACTACACTAAATTCCCCACACTAAATTCCCATCTCCTCCATCTTCCAAACACGCCAAAACCTGGCTCTTCCAACCTATCCATGTGTATCACACCCCACAAACCCCCTGCTCTCTTCCAAGTGCAAACCTGAGCTGTTCTCTAGCAGCTTACTGATCTTTACTTGGCCTTCCATCTACATTAAAAGTTGAGCAAGAGAATCCTCTCCTGCACTGGTCTCAAGTACGGAACGGGGTATGTGGCAGCACTTAGTTCCTGGTTCTTGTTACTATTCAGGAAGGAAAAGCCAGGCAGACACAAGCCCAGTTTAGCCGGTTACCTAAATGATAGAAAGCCAAAGTGACAAAGAACCATAATCTGGTGACACACAGATTTACTAGAAAGTAGTAGTTTAGAAAATAGGAAGGAAGAAGCTTCTGATTTTAAAAGTGAGAGTAAGAATTCCAAAAAAAACAAACAAATACCCAAACTTTACGGGCATTCATTGAATTATTTACTTCTTGAGCAAATAGCTGTTTTGCGGGGATGGTCTGCCGCTAAAGGTAAAAATCTCAGCACCCGAACTGCACTCAAGGAATGTGGATGGCAACAGAGAAGGTGAAAATAGATGCCGTCCTGTGAGGACCAAAGCTGGGCTTAGGTGTTTTGTGGCTGTTAGGTGTTTTGCGGTTACCAAGAAGAATGTATGGTAAGAAAAAATACATAGTATAAAAAGTAAAATCAAAAGCTTCATTTTTAGTAAAATAAATTGATTTTAAAAAACAAAACCAAAAACCTATTCCCCACAAAGATGGCCTTAAAAATATATTACTTTTTATGGACAATAGGCATCTGAAATGTGAACCTAAGAAGGAAATGACAACGCAGTGCTCACTCCAACCCTACAGCCATCCCCAACCCTACAGCCATCCAAATACATGAGCAAGAGGAAACAAGAAATTAACTAGCTGGGACTGATATCCTTACTAAACTTCATGATTAGATAAACCAAACAAGGCAACGGATATACAAACAGTCAGAAATCACAGGTGGTGCAAGCACTGCAGATATCTTTACTGTGATGTCCACCTATTGCATTGCTTCTAGTGACAAGAACCTAAAAACAGAACTATGCTACATCTATGCATTCACAGCTTTAAGGAAACTAGCAAATCTAAAGGAATCAACTTACAGATTCAGTTTCACTAACTAGAAACTGATGAAACTTTTCCAACTGTGGCGATTTTCTCAAGATTTTTCGACTTAAATTTGTGTGCCAGGCAAGTTCTTCAGGATACCTGACCAAAAAGAAAGCAAAACATGTATGGATTATAAACAGTGAAGTCCTCTGTTGACAACTTTGTGCTTCTATCAGTCACGGGCCAAAAGAGACTTCAAATGTTGTTCTCCCTGTTGCTGTTCACAATCCTCTAAGGACAGTCAGCAACACTCAGAGATGTCCCTGTAGGCATAAGGAACATGGCTCTAGCTACACCATGTGCCAAGCAGAAACAGGAGACTCATGGGGGATTATAAGACATATGCATATTACCGCAAAATTATAATGATGAAACGTTCAAGATCAGATGGAAAAGTGGACACTCCTCTGCTCTTGACCAGTATAAGGTAACAACAGTAAGGTCATCAGAAATAAAAAGATACAAGATGACTTACTTAATGTGCAGATCGCACAGAATCAAAATAGTGCAGTGTCAGTGTTCCACAAACATCTGATTAGAGTTTTTTTAAAATATATTTTTCATTATTTCTTTTTTTTTTTTTTTGAGACGGAGTCTGGCTCTGTCGCCCAGGCTGGAGTGCAGTGGCCAGATCTCAGCTCACTGCAAGCTCCGCCTCCCAGGCTTACGCCATTCTCCTGCCTCAGCCTCCTGAGTAGCTGGGACTACAGGGGCCCGCCACGTCGCCCGGCTAGTTTTTTGTATTTTTTTTAGTAGAGACGGGGTTTCAACGTGTTAGCCAGGATGGTCTTGATCTCCTGACCTCGTGATCCGCCCATCTCGGCCTCCCAAAGTGCTGGGATTACAGGCTTGAGCCACCACGCCCGGCCTCATTATTTCTAATACCAGTTCTATAATGTACTAAAATATTTTACATACCAAAAAAATCCCTACCTTGGAAACCACTAATGTATTAATTTGAGCTCCTAGGCTGTTACCTATATATAACTAAGAATAAAGCATTTCCCGCCATCATTTCTTTGAATATATTTGAACTTTTCTATAAATGAATGACATCAATGTTTTTATTATTATTACTTTTTTTAATTGGGGGAGAAATGGGGGATACTAAAGACATTGTCCTTTTCTTTTTTGAGACAGTCTCACTCTCTCACCTACGTTGGAGTGTAGTGGTGTTATCTCAGCTCACTGCAACTTCTGCCTCCCAGATTCAAGCAATTCTCATGCCTCAGCCAGCCACCTGAGTAGCTGGGATCACAGACGTGTATTTTCAGTAGAGATGGGGTTTTGCCGTGTTGGCCAGGTTGGTCTCGAACTCCTGGCCTCAAGTGATCTGCCCGAATCAGCCTCCCAAAGTGTTGGGATTACAGGCATAAGCCACTGTACCCAGCGGTGATGTGCTTTTAAACTTGGCCTGCACCTACACAGGAATCTGCACTGTACGAACGAGCACACTGATGTCACACGGCACCATGCTCAATCCAGTGCCAAACCAAGTGTAACATGTCACGCGGCCATAAATCTTACTGCAGTTTCAGCAATTCTCACTAAATCTGAGATGCAGTAATACACTCAATTTAACAATGCAGGCTCACAATGTTTCCATGCGTCAAACTGTAGCCAGAGTGAAAACCATGAAAATAAAATTGGAATGTTTGGAAAACACAAACATATTTGACTGCTTTTAAACTTCGATTATTTGATGGAAACAAACTCGGGACTTAAAAGTCTAAGACACTGCTCAAGTCATAATATTACAAGATATATCTGAAAAGCATTTTCTACCAAATAATGAAGATGAAACTGGTTGAATCTGTCCACGGCCACCCTCCAAAGGTCCCCAGTGCTTTGATTCTATCTCATATAGCCCAGTTCCCTCCTCAACGTTTACTGTGTTTCAAAAATATAAAGCCAAAATAAAATCATATTCATAAGGCAATTTAAAAAAAGAATTGTTTTAAATAATCTTTTGGACTCATTAGAGGCGAAATAGTAGGTTACATGCAAATTTGGCATTTGCTGTCATATTGGGCAAATATCTGCTGTGCCACTATAACCTCTATTTGTAAACAGCCAAATGCCAGCTCATACAATATCTGGTCTTCCTGAACTTGTCTGTGTCAAAGCTAGTATGATCATGTAAGTTATTACCTTACCAAATCACCAAAACATCAATATGAATACCACATGCCATTTAGATTTATTGTAAAGAGCTGAATTTTCCTTTTTAAATATAGATAAGCAGTCTAGATACACTTTGAACAAATATACCCTTACATGTCTTATTCGTCAAATTTCTGATAGTCAAAATGTAAGTGTACTATAACAAGATTAAAATTTTACAGTATTTATAATTGTGAAGGCTGCTGAACTTATGAATAGAAAGCAGCCTTAGGAACTCTTTAATAGTTAAATAAAAAAAAACTAACAGATAAATGTACATTTCCCCTGGGTACAGAGAACAGCCTGGGCAACAAAGCGAGACACTGTTTCTACAAGAAATTTTTTTAAATTATGTTTCTTATATAGCTTGAGGAACAGCATCATCTTTTTATGAGCCAAAAAAATGTTTATCGAATCTTTGTATAGATTTTAACATCAAACAAAATGATCTTAAAGAGGTATATTTTTTAGTTACTTAATTCAAATTTAGTTCGTATCTTTTAAGAAAAAATCTTATTTGGGCCCCTTAAAGGATAAATTAAAAGGACCACTGTCATCTTTGCACGTCAACAATTCTCAAGTGGTAAGAACTCTGTAAATATATACACCACCTATGAAAACCATCCTCGGTTGGCCGGGCGCGGTGGCTCACGCCTGTAATCCCAGCACTTTGGAAGGCCGAGGCGGGCGGATCACAAGGTCAGGAGATCGAGACCATGGTGAAACCCCGTCTCTACTAAAAATAGAAAAAAATTAGCCGGGCGCAGTGGCGGGCGCCTGTAGTCCCAGCTACTCGGGAGGCTGAGGCCGGAGAATGGCGTGAACCCGGGAGGCGGAGCTTGCAGTGAGCCGAGATTGTGCCACTGCACTCCAGCCTGGGCGACAGAGCGAGACTCCGTCTCAAAAAAAAAAAAAAAAAAAAAAAAAAAGAAAACCATCCTCAATCTAGACATTAAAAAGCACATAAATCTGCCAGGTGCAGTGGCTCATGCCTATAATACCAGCACTTTGGGAGACCAAGGTGGGTGGATCACTTGAGGTCAGGAGTTCAAGAGCAGCCTGTCCAACATAGCAAAACCCCATCTCTACAAAAAATATGAAAAACCAGCTGGGTGTGGTGACGTGGGCCTGTAATCCCAGCTACTTGGGACGCTGAGGTGGGAGGATCACCTGGGCCCAGGAGGTGGAGGTTTGCAGTGAGCTGAGGTTATGCCACTGCACTCCAACCTGGGCGACAGAGACCTATCTCAAAAAAAAAAAAATACACAAACAGCACATAAATAGAATGACAATAAGACGCACTCTGAACAATTGGTTGTCAAAACAATGCTTTTTAAAGAACGCTTTAGGATAATTTCTCATTGTTCTGAGTCTACGAATATAAGAAAAAAAATGAAATTGGCCCAAGCTATGGTACTATACATAACTTTCCTTCTAGAAAATGTAGTTCCAAAAAACACTTTCCTAAATTATATTTCACTATGTACCAGAGGATTGGGAAGAATATTACATGATCTATTTCTGCATCTTGAGCAATACAGAAAACTACCAGAAGTCCTGAAAAGCTTCTGCTTTACTTGCTTGCTGAGAGATTTAGTACCCTAAAACTGACAGGTGAATTTGAATAAATAATGTTCAGAGAATAAAGCTGCCAAGAAACTGGCATTGGCCAGGAATGGTGGCTCACATCTGTAATCCCAGCACTTTGGGAAACCAAGGCAGGAGGATCGCTTGAGCCCTGGAATTCAAGACCAGCCTGGGCGACATGGTGAAACTCCATCTCTACAAAAAATAAACAGATTAGCCAGGCATGGTGGCATGCACCTGTAGTCTGAGCTACTCGGGAGGCTGAGGTGGGAGGATCGCGTGAGCCTGGGAGGTCAAGGCTACATCACTGCACTCCAGCCTGGGTGACAGAGTGAGACCCTGTCTCAAAATAAAATACAGAAACCATCATTGATACATTATCATTGGAAATTTATTGATACATACATTAATACATACATTACTTGGAAAAAGCCAAGTATTAGAAACCCAAATCATACAATGTTTTGTTCATACCCTTCAGCTGTGTGTTCCGAAAACTAAAGCAAACAAAAACATAACTGGCTGTTGGCAGAAAGCGATTCACTTTCATTCTTCAACTACAGACAACCTGCAGATTCTAAGAGTTTGGTAATTACCTTGTCACATACCCAGACATGTTGTTCAACAAACAAGGTGGAAAAGCAGCTCTTAAATGTTAAAACGGCTGATCGAATCAAAGTTTAACTGTAGTTTGCAGAGAGTAATAAAAAACTAGCAAGGCTTATTAACATCGCATGGTTTCTCCTAGTTTGCTGGCGCCTGCAGAAGAAAATGCCCACATTGGCGTGCCTTGAGAGCACACCTCTTCCCTACAGACGCGCGCCGAAACCCTCCTCCTGGACAGGAGCTTCATCTGAAAAGCATTTCTTATCCCATCTCTGTGCTTCTATACACAAGGTTTTAGAAACAAACGTTTCCAGGTGATTGTGTGAAGCAGCACATACATCCACCACTGTTAAATATACAAACATGCCCAAGGAGAATCATAATCCTGTCTTCTTAAAATATTTTATATGGCTTGGCTCTGTGTTCCTACCCCAATTTCACCTTGAATTGTAATATTCCCCACGTGTCAAGAGCAAGACCAGGTGGAGATAATTAAATCACAGGGGCAGTTTCCCTCACGTTGTGAGGCTGCAGTGAACCGTCACTCTCACGACAGTGAGTCTGTTTTCCGGGGGGGAGGTCGGATGGTTTATAAAAGGCTTCTTCCTTTGCTCGGCACTCATTCTCTCTCCTGCCACCCTGTGAAGAGAGACCTTCTGCCAGGATTTTAAGGTTCCTGAGGAGTCCCCAGCCATGTGGAAATGCGAGTCAATTAAGCCTCTTTCCTTTGCATACACTTACTCAGGTATGTCCTTATAACAGCATGAAAACAGACTACTATAGTATCAGACCTCTACTTCAAGCAGAACACAATCAATGTCGTGAATGTAATCTTCAAACGACTTGAGAAAAGTCTACAACCTAGTTACTAGTTACTAGGAGGAAGAAAAGCTTGATCTCATGAAGGCTACCTCTTCTCAGCAATGCCATAACTAGAGGCTGAAAAATATCTACCTTTTCCACTGACCTCGCTACAGTGGACAATTAGTGACCACTAACAGCAACCTAGCACCTGAATCATTTTCCTACACTGTACCCTTCAAGCTTTTAAACATCTGAGATGTGGCATATCTATTATTTTTTTCTTTTTTGAGATGGGGTCTTGTTCTGTGGCCCAGGCTAGAGTGCAGTGGCATGATCTTGGCTCACTGCAACCTCCACCTCCTGGGTTCAATCGATTCTCATGCCTCAGCCTCCCTAGTGGCTGGGATTTTAGGTGTGTGCCACCATGACGGTCAAATTTTTGTATTTTTAGTAGAGACAGGGTTTCACGATGTTGGTCATATTTATTCCTATATCCCAGAAACACATTCCATGATGGTGATATTTGGTCTTCATACTGGTTGAATATTGACTTAATGTTTGGCCAGTCAGCATTCATTGTGAATGTATAAGCTTATCTGTGATAGACAATGAAAATCCAAATAGCCAATGAAAGAAAAGCAAGCAAATCTGTACCCCATGATTAATGAAAATCTGACCTCGATTTGCGAACACTAGAGGTTATCTAGAAAGGAAAGATAACACTACATACTGGAAGAGTCAAAACCTCAAAAGTTGATGCAAAACACTTAATTCGGCAGGGCGCAGTGGCTCACGCCTGTAATCCCAGCACTTTGGGAGACCGAGGTGGGTGGGTCATGAGGTCAGGAGATCGAGACCATCCTGGCTAACATGGTGAAACCCCATCTCTACTAAAAATACAAAAAATTAGCCTGGTGTGGTGGCGGGCGCCTGTAGTCCCAGCTACTCAGGAGGCTGAGGCGGGAGAATGGCATGAACCCAGGAGGTGGAATTTGCAGTGAGCCAAGATCATGCCACTGTACTCCAACCTGGGCGACAGAGTGAGACTCCGTCTCAAAACAAAGGCTTAATTCACCTTTTCGCGCATTACTTTCTTTTCTGAGAACTCAATACCTCAAAGCTAATAATAACGGCTTTTCCACTTACAAGTTAACCGAAGGACTGGCGCCTCCGGAGTTCTCCAAGCATCTCTACAAGATGCTGTCAGCACAAGGGATCACCTTCACACAACTGAGACTAGAACTGAGCCATGAGGAATAGGTAACCCAGAGGGCACCTGCAGGACAAGTCAAGAAAGAGGTGGCTCCCGGAGTAGTAGTACGCATGGGTGCCAACACTCGGAAATGCTACACTGGCTGGTGCAGTCTGTACTGGGAAGTAGCAGGAGACAACCTGACAGCAGACAGTGGTAACCTGTCTGTAATGGAAAACACTAAGAGACCACCTACCAGGAGACTGTTGTCAAGCTAAGTCTGTCCTTTTTCTGAAGGCAAAGAAGCCACTCTGCAACAGTTTTGATGAGAAAACAAGGGCTGTAGCATGGAGCTGGCAGAAGTGGTGACATAAAGGAAGAGGTTGGATGTACTAGGAAGAGTTCGCTGAACTCAGTGACTCATAAAGCTGCAAATAGCCTGAAAACTTGGATACCAATGTAATGTTGATAGAAGCACCAGGTACTAAAACATTAGGATGTTTGCCAAGTATACCCAGGCTCTTTCATGTTAACAGCAAATGCAGTACCAAGAAATATAATTCAAGTGATAGAGATTAATATCCCAAGCAAATAATCGGCATGAAGCATTGTGGTACCTACCAACTCAGTGGCTGTGGAACTTCAACTTTCTGACCGTCCACCTCCAGGTCCTCCAATTCCTTAAAATATTTGTTCTTTAAGCAATGGAGAATCTCTTTTGCATGGCTATTGAAAAACAAGAAAGTTTCAAACTGATCTAGAAAGCTAAGTTAATACATTGTATCTTTTTAAATTTAAGACTACAAGTGTTTTAAAACTAAAACCAACTTTTGCATGCAAAGTAAACATTCTTCAGTCACTACTTTTACACTGTATCCCTTCAAAATTTAAGCAATCCACACTGTTTATCCCTAAGAGCAACACTGCATTCCTTCTCTCCTAAGTATACCTACAGTTTTAGTTTCACTTGCGACTCATTTAGAAAGATGTAACTACAAAGATGGGGGGTGGGACGGAGGGGGGAAGGACCAAGGAGTTTTATGCATTCTCTATATTCTCTTACGTTCCAAAAGGTAAGACCCTCAGCTTCCCTCCTGGAAGATTCCCCAGGAACCGAATCTTCCTCAGATCCCATTTTCATTTCCTCTTCTAACCCTGCACCTGCAATACCTCCGTGACCATTTCATTGGACCCTGTGCTCCCACCTCAATGCTTCCTGAATCCAAACCGCTGAAACGCCACGGTTCTCTGGCATCGTAACACTTGTCGGAGAAAACACCATCGCCCTTAACCGCCAGCATCCTGGCCCCAACTCCCAAAAAATCAGGCACTGCCCCCCTACCTTTTGTAACCAGTAATTCTTAAAGTGGCCGGGAGGGGCTCCCTGAGAGCGTCCATGAACTGGCCCCATTCGCCCTCGGGCACGATCTTGAGCTCCTGGTAGTAGTGCTCGAACAGCTTGTTCTCCTTGACGATCTCGGGGTAGCCTCCTTCCCAGCCCTGAGAAAGGAAAGTGACGTCTACCCCGAGGCCCGAGGAGCTGCCCCTCGCCGCCGCTTCGGAGGCCTCGGGGTCCGGAAGGCCCACGAGGAGCCCCTGGCCCGCCCGCCGGGTCCCGGCTCCTACCGCTTCGCCGCGCTTTCCACCGCCCTCGGCGCCATCCTCCGCATCCTCTGGCCGCTGCTGTTGCTGGAGCCGCCGGCCCCGCGACCGCCGCCCCATAGCCCACGCGGCCGCACACGCAGCACGCACAAACCGGCCGGCCACGGCCAGACTTTACAGCTCCCGGGACTTCCGACCGGAAACCAAGGCCCCACGTGTCCGGGCCTGGTCCTTTCGGGGACCTTTGGGGACCGTCCAAGAATAAGCCTAAAGCGCACAACCCGTCTTCCCTAAAAGCAGCGAGAGAGGGAAAACCGCGGACAGCTCTGAGGCGGAAAAAGCCTCCAGGAAGCAGCCATGAAGGCGTCTCCAAGCGAAGCGCCCGGGTTTCCCACGCGGTCTCAGGGACCTCCGCGGACAGCCTGAGGCCGCCCGTCCGCAGAGCGGCGCCGGGTTACGGCGGCCCGGCGTGGGCGGGGCGCTTCCAGGTCCCTCCCCGCGCAGGTGCTCGCCCCGCCCCCGGGGCCGCGCCCACAGCCCCGGCTGCCCTGGAGAAGCCTGGATTGAGAACCCTGTCTGCAGTGTCCCGGCAGTGCCGAACTCGGGTAGCCGCCCGTCCCGCCCCCGCGCTGCCGCCTTATATGTTGCCTGCCGCGGCCTCTGGGGCATGGAGCACGCTACCCAGCCCCGGCGATGGCGACGGCGGTGGCGGAGGAGCTCCTGCTGGCCGAGGAGCGCATGCTGGCCGCGCTCGCCTACCTGCAGTGCGCCGTGGGCTGCGCGGTCTTAGCGCGGAATCGTGAGACGAACTTGGCGTACGGCCGCCACGCGTCGCCCAGCTTTAGGGTCCGAGTGCCGGCGCGGGCCGCCTGGGTGGTGCAGGAGCTGCCCTCGCTGGCTCTGCCGCTCTACCAGTATGCCAGCGAGTCCGCCCCGCGCCTCCGCAGCGCGCCCAACTGCATCCTCCTGGCCATGTTCCTCGTCCACTACGGGCATCGGTAACGTCCCCGGCCCCCGACCCTCGGCCCGGCGTCCTCTCCGACCTTCCCCTCACTGCCCGGTGCCCTCTCCCCGAAGCCTCCCCCACCCAGATGCCCTCTCCCTGCCAAACCCCCGGGGCGTCCCCCATCTGCACGGGTCCCCTTCCCCTGCCGCCCCTGGGGTCCCCTCCCCGAGTCCCCCGGCCCCGGGAGTTTGGAAACCAGAAGGGATTCGTCTAGAAAGGGCGGGAAGCGAAGGACTAGAAGGGAGTGATGGAAAAAATCATGATGAAACTGATCTGGAAAGAGCCACTCGGTGGTCCTAGGTTTGGTTTCCTTAGCCGGGTGCGGTGGCGCCTGTCTGTAATCCCAGTTACTCGGGAGGCTGAAATGGGAGAAGAGCTTGAACCCCCGGGAGGCGGAGGTTACAGTGAGCCGAGATCTCGCCACTGCCCTCCAGCCTGAGTGACAGAGCAAGACTCTGTCTCAAAATTAAATAAATAAAAATAAAGAATTAAAAAGTAAAAATATAAAATTAAAATGAAGACTAGATTTTGTTCCCTTAGATCACGTCTGCGGGGGTGTGTGTGTGGGGGGGTGACCTAGAGTCTAATGCTGATGGTCTTCAGTCTTGAGGGCTACTGGTTTCTACTCCTTTCTGCCGGTTCCCCCTTTGGTATCTTTGGTGATGGTGGAGCTGTTTTCTCTGAGCCAAGTGATCAGCTGCAACTGGAAACCTGGTATGCTAAAATTGCCTAGCAGTTTCTCTATATAGGCTTGATCACTTTCACACTTTCATCTCCACCTTATGCAAGGGACCCCAGGATTGTGGGGGGGCTTTCCAGGCAACAACCTTAAACCTTAAACAAATCAAGTCTTAAAGATGACTTCTAAATCTTTCAAGGTGTTTTTTTTTTTTGAATATTTTAAAACTGGCTGTGTCTGAAATCTTCAAGTTTTCTAATAAGTTGGGGTTCTCTCCAGGTCTTATCTTTTGGCTTTTACACAGCTAAAGCAAACGGCAGGTCAAAAGTTCAAAATCAAATTTTAAATGTTTTCATTCAGGCTCTGGAAAGCTTCACCGTTGAAAAGGATGTCTCTGCACCCAAGGAAGTTGAACTCACTGGCTCTGTGACTGTGGGCCGTTTACCCAACCTTTCTGATTTGGGGTCCTACCTTAAAACACCCACTTCCCACCAAGACAGGAAGAACTCAGTGTGTCTTTATAAGCCTCTGTTCTTTTCCTGGTGTCATGCATTCCAGTGAAGAATTTTTTTTTTGGAATAGGATCAACCATTGCTACACATGTGTGAATGCACATCCAGACATGTACTCTGTGTGTCATTCATGTACACTGCTGCCAGCCTCATGTGCCAGCAAAACTGTGGCATTGGAAATGAAGGGAGCACTTTACAAAGTTTTGCCTGACATCCCAAATGGAAGCTTTTTAACTTGAGACATCATGTTTAATTGTACCTACATTCACTCAAGCAAAAAAATGAATGCAACCTCCCAAAGGGCCAGGGTCACCTTGAATGATAGAACTTGAACAGCTCCTTCATACAGAGGAAAGCATGGAGACACAGCATGCTGCTGTCTTCCCTGAGGCTGTTGGATGAGGAGCTGCTAGGACGAAAACGCACTTCCTATACTAATAGTTTAAAAGCTGCTCCAAGAGGATTGGCTGGGTCAGGTATAGTTTTTTTAAACTGCTAGGCTATTTTTTTTGGGGGGGGAGGGGGCAGGGTTGTACATGTTATTGTGTACATAGCCTATGTGGTTTGGGGACATTACGCTTTCCAAATAGAAGAGATAAACATTTTCCATTCTACCCAAGCAACTAATTTATTAAACAGTCATTTGATCTAAGTCATGAGCACTTGGAAGAGAACCAGAGTGGAAACAGCATTTAGCACTGAGCACAAACCATCCCAGCAGCCCCTGGAAGCGTCCTGGAGCCCCTTATTTGCACAGGGCCCTGCAGAGAACACCAGACCCAGTGGGAGGAGGCTGTGGGTACAAGGATGACTCAGAGGCAGGAGAAAGGTGAGCCTGAGGAGGTGCTGGCCAGGCAGAGCCAGTGGCACCTTAAAAAACCTGACAGGTATGCACACAGGCCCGGTGCTGAGCTGTGAGATTTCGCAGGAATGAGGTTGGGCCCTGCCCTGGGGAGCTAGAGCCTCTTTTGGGAGTGGTGAGGACCAGAGCCCAGTCCAGGGACTTTCCACAGTCCATGAGGCCTGAAGGCAGCAGCAGAGCTACAGCTCTTGCCAGAGCAACTGACAGTTTCAGGAACAATGAGTACAGGACAGTCAGCTCAGGAGGGAGGAAAAGTGCAGGAAAGGATAGAGGGAATAGTGCACTTTCATGTATTTATTCAGCAAACACTGAGGACCTACGTGCCAGTGAGGATTTCTGGACCTGGTGGTATGCTGGGGATATAGTGACAAGACATTCCCTTGTCACTATAAAAGACAGGAGTAAAAGACAGGTTGTGGAGAATCTATGGGGTCTTTTGGACACAAACACCAGGGAAGGAAGGACAGGCTGCCTGGAAGGGGACAGGGCTGGTGTGGGGCGATAGCCGTGACGCAGGACGATCTGTGGTCCTGACCAGTTCCCCCAGGAGGGCAAAGGACATTTTCAGGAACATCTTTAGGGCTTGCAGTGGCAACAACGATTGCCTGCATCCTATCTGTGCTGAGGCCTCCTCCTTCTGATCCCATGGCGCTTGGGTTCTTGGGGGCAGGGGCAGCAGCGTCTTACTGGGGCCTTAGTCATGCAGCGCATGGAGTGTCGTCTGGCACGGTGGCAGCCCCTGGAGGCAGGTGCCTTCCCCAGCCTCCTGGCAGGCCTCCCTAGGGTCTTCCGAAGCCTGTGTTTACTCCTGTCACCTTTACCCTCCGCTCCGTGGTTACGGTGACGCCCCACTGCATCTACCCTGTTCCCTAGCCCTCTATTTTGTTTCCCTGGGCTGGTGCTGTAACCCAGGTCCTCGTCGCCTGTGTAGGTTCTTGTTGGGCTTCTTCACTCTTCCCCACTGGTCTTTCTTTACCCTCGTTTGTGAATCCTGCTTTGCTAGACACAGCAAAAGTCTCCTGGAGTCAAGGGCATTAGCTCTGGACTGTGTTGGAGTTGCTGGGTGGCTTTGCAGACTGCTGCCTGACCTCAGGCTCTTTCTCTCCACCCAGGCAGGTTTGTTCAGTGTTCCCTGAACCCAGGCTGCTTTGCTCATGGATTTCCCTTCGCCACTATCAGCAGTGAGTTAGGGGATTGTCTCTTCATTGTATGTTCATTTAACAAATAACTCCGAGTAGCCTGAGCAGGAGGTGCTGCTTGCCACGGGAGCCCTCAGTGACTGCCTCTGTTAGGACTGGTGGCCAAGTGGTGCCCAGAGTGCAGACAGTCAGGTGCCCTGAGGTCTCCTCTTTCTGACACCTGCCCCAGGTCTGTACTCAGCCAGGTCCATGACCTTGTGGGACTTTGCTTCTGTCTTTATCTCTGACGATGGTGCCTCAAAAAATTGCACCTACTTTAATTCCTTGTTCCTCGCATGTAATTCTATTAATGGGCTCTTGTGGGGAGCCTAGCCCAGCTTCACTTTTAAATGTGTTGTGGGTAATGTTAAAACACAGCAGGGAACTTTGAGGGTGAAGTATGTTAAAAGATAAACTCAGGTGCATTAAAATTGTAGTTTTTTAGGCTGGGCACACTGGCTCGTGCCTGTAATCCCAGCACTTTGGGAGGCCGAGGCAGGTGGATCACACGAGGTCAGGAGTTCGAGACCAGCCTAACCAACATGCCGAAACCCTGTCTCTACTAAAAATACAAAATTTAGCTGGGTGTCATGGCACATGCCTGTAATCCCAGCTACTTGGCAGGCTGAGGCAGGAGAATTACTTGAATCCGGAGGCAGAGGTGCAGTCCAGCCTGCGCAACAAGAGCGAAACTCATCTTAAAAAAAAAAAAAAAAAGTTGTAGCATTTTTTTGGAGCAGACTAATTCATGAATCAGCACCAAACCACAAGCAGTGTAAGCTCCACCTAGAAGGCGTGTAGGAAAGCGATTTTGTAAGATGTGTTTGCACAGGCAAGACAAAGGAAGCATTTGATTGGTCAGAGTGGAAAGTCCCGGAGATTAGTGGGTGGTTTCTGATTGGCACAATCTCTCATTAGAAGTCACTTGGCAGTTTCTGATTGGTTTAAGTTTCCTTCCACTGTGAGGTTTCCATGTGCTTATGTAAGACACAAGACACCATCTCAGCCTAATGGCCTTCTAATTAATTTGTTTTAATAAGGGCATACTGAATCCTTGGCCCTTGTCTCATAGATTGGAATAATCTGAGAAAATAGAAACTTCTATTCGAAAGTGTAGAATGATGAAAAGTGAAATAATGATAGCCAAGTACTTATTTTAAGCATGCTTTGTTGGCAGCTGTGCAATTTGGCCATCATTTCAAAAGTCTTTTACAGAAGGAAAGGCTAGGCGAAAGGAACAGACCCAAATCTAAGAAGTGCTATAGATTTCAATGGTCTCAAGTTGTTCAGGGAAAAAAGCAATACAGTCAATTATTAAAATTAACCACTCTCAGTTTTAAACATTTAAAAATGATTAAGTCCACCATGGCCTAAATTACTCCCATATAACCAAATTCTCTATTTCATTGTTCCCAAACTTGGGGTTACAACATTATAGGTTGTCCTGAAAGATGACGTCCAGTTGCTCTGAGAGTCAAATCATTTGCTGAATAAATGCCTATCTGTTACAAGTCAACCAAGGGATTATTATTCCCAGTTTGTTGGGAAGATATTTCAAGACATACTTTTTTAGTTCACTGTGTGAATTAAATAGGCATAGAACTTGCTTCCAAGATGACAAAACCCAAGAATCTTACTTTAAACGTTTGAAAGAATAGTCATTCCAAGTTTGCATTTTCATCCCCGGAATGCATACTGTATCATATTTTGAGTCTTTCCCCTTTGGAGGAGATCACATCGAGCAGATGAGTATGAACAGTT